GTTCCGACAGATACATCGTTCGCAAATAACCCGGACCTCATATCATAAATTGGCTTTATTATTATCCTTGCAACCCTAGAAGCCGAGGGCAAAAACGCTAATATCCTATACTAGGTATCCGTTAAGTATAAGAGGGTCACCTAGAGCATGCTCGCGTTAGAGCTATACATAATAGCTAATAGTTTTAATGCTGCTATCGCCATCAAAATAAGCCTAGACCGGATACTAAATACCACCCTCCGACTCACCATTTGCATAGATTCGAAATCCCTATATAACTATCTCGTGAAACTAGGCTCTATAACGGAAAAACGACTTATGATTAATATAATAGCACTCTATAAGGTATATAAGCAAAGATAAATAGAGATCCTCTAGATCGAAGGCGACTCCAACCTAGCTGACGCAATAACTAAGTCAAAGCCCTGCGACGCACTAACGAAGTTAATAGACTCTAACAGAATCAACTTGAAAACCATCGAATAGGTCAAAAGAGAGGAAAATCTCTCTATATAACCTACTATAAATCAGGCATCACCCAGCGATGATAAACGGCCCTAAAAATATCATCGCTAACCACTTTCTTTTAACCATTTTTCGGTATCCAACATACTTCTTTCATATACCTATTCAATGATAATTCGGCGACGGAAACACTAGGCCATTTTTCCTTTCAGAAAACCAGATCACATAATACCATTAAAGGAAAAATCCCTGATTTCCCCCGCATCAGACACAGAAATCGCCCTTTTTCCCAGAAATAAAAGAAGAGAAAAGCCCCCTTCTCCTTCTCCGTTCGTCTATCACCCGAACACTCCTCCACCTATTATCTAAAGACCCTAACTGCCGAAAACCTTCCTTTTCCCATAAGAACACCACCCCCAGAAGCCACTATAAACCACCCGATCGATGGCCGGAAGGGTGACGAAAGCAAAAGGAAAGGGAGCAAAAGGACCTAAAAGAGCGAAAGCTGTAGGTCTAGTAGCAGGTCTAGCAGCAGGTCCAGCTCCAGCAGCAGACCTAGCCCCAGCCCCAGGAGCACCAGCAGTGCCAGCGGAACCCGCCATAGTATTATCGCCGACAACCCTATAGGCGATACCAGAACAGCCAAAGTTCATGATATATATTAGATACATTAGACACAAAAACATAAACTAGGAAGGAGAAACATTTCCCACGTTCAACTGCTTTTTCGATACCATAGCCAGCAAGAAATGCAACCGATGTAGAGGGGCTAGCAAAGCCATATATCACCCACCACTATTCGGAATCCAATATAATAGCTAGATATTCTATATACTTATGGACTACGCCAGAAATGCAGACCCTGCCGCAACATATGCGAGTCAAGGACTATCGGCACCATTTGGCACACCAGGAGCAACCAACACAGCGTTCACCTAGGCAGAAACCACACCCGAAACAGCCTAGGCGGCAGCTGGTAACCTAATGATAGCATTCCGACAGCTAATCATAATCCACTCGATGGAATCGGGGATCGAAACGGACAAGAAATATGACCTAAAGCTCATCAGGGAATACATAGCCGTCCAGCGGGAAAAGCATAACACCTAAATCAGACTCCTACCGCATCCAATTCGCTTCCCGAACACCTTATGCAGACTGGAATCCTCAGAAGGAGGGTACACCATATGGCAGTCCGCCATATTATCCTTTTTCCGGGAATTAGCAACAGCTCAACCTGCGAACGCCGCCGTTATCATGAATAAGGCAACAGAATACCATTTGCCATTCTGATCTCAGGGGATCAGTAAAATGCCGCTAGAGAGGACCACGGATAGAAGACGAAATAGAGACTAGCTTCTCTAGGAAAAGCCCACTTTCGTGTTGTCCACTTTTTATTATTTTTTTTTCCCACTCACCACTTTCTTTACCCCGCACAAAGGCTGATTCTTCAACAAAAATCGGCCACCCAATAGATACAATATATAGGGCACTCGGGGGCATATCGTGCACCTATCCACATTCATTTATTTTATCGATCCATGTATATAGCGACTCGAGATTTTAAAGTTGCTCTAGTATCGGAACATGGATATTGCAATCATGCAATACCATAAACCCGGAACGGAACAAACAGACCCCCGAGTCACGGGGGAACAACTATATTAGGAACTCAAGTAGCTACATGAATCGAACACATTTCACACCACTTTGCACAACGTATATACTAAGAATCTAGGACGAACCATACCCTTTTCCAGTATATATAGTGCAACGTGTGAACCCTGTCCTTTCAACGTAGTTGATCGACACTAAGACACCGCCTTAACCCGACCTGCACTGGATTGAAGCAGCCTTTATAAGGCACTCTGCCCCTATAAGCGGACCGCCTGATTACACCAAAAATCAATACGTCCGCCCCTAGAAGTAGTCATCCTGACCAAGGAAGCGACAAATCCTTGCCAGAGGACACTCTAGGCGTTCCTAATCAGTTTTCTCTAGAGACTAGCCCGTTTATCTTTGAAACCAAGAAGTTGAAGACTGATTTCACCAAAGAGATCAACTCTATGTCAAAGATTTACACTGAGAAACAGAGATATAGTAGGACAGATAATAGTAGCTTTGATTGGAAACTCAATATTTTTTACACCATCTAACGTGCGTCACGGTTGACCGAGCGTCCCGGTTGGCCGAGCGACACCTCAAAATATTTACCCCGAAATCGACCCTCCTTTTTCTAACACCAACAATGCCTCCAATTCGCACTCAAAAATCGAAAGATTTGGAGCAGCAGGAGAGTAAAGTCTTATTAGCAATTCAGGCTATTAAAGATGAACGATACTCCTCTGCTGCTGCCGCTGCTCGCGCCTTTTCAGTTCCTGTCTCAACTTTGAAAGCGCGAATCCAAGGTCGCAAATCGAAGGCCATAACTCGCCATTCTCGCCATAAATTCTCTAAAGGTGAGGAGAAATCGATGGAAAAATGGCTCCTTGATATGGACGCTAGAGGATTCGCTTTTTCGCATGAAATGTGCCGAAATATGGCGAATCTGCTCCTCCGCGCCCGCGAAATTGTCCCCTCCGACACCCCCCTAAAGTTGGCAAAAACTGGGTGACAGGATTCCTTCAACGCACCGAATCTCTTCATACGCGAAAATCTCGGGCGCTTGATATCCAGAGGGCGCAGACAGAAGATCCACAAGTCATCCAAGGGTGGTTTAATCTCGTCCAGAATATAGTCACAAAATATGGTATCCTTTCAGAGGATATCTATAACTTCGATGAGACTGGATTTGCGATGGGTGTTATATCTTCAGAGTATATTATATGCTCCTCAGATTACCATAGTAAACGAAGGCTTCTTCAAGCTGGAAATCGAGAGTGGGTTACTGTTATTGAGACTATCAACGCCCAAGGTGTTGCGCTTCCGCCCTATATCATCCTAAAAGGGAAACATTTTATGGAGCGTTGGTTTGACCATCTACCCCCTAAATGGTCACTAAACACTAGCCCAACTGGTTGGACTACAAATCTAATGGGTCTAGATTGGCTGAAAAGCCACTTTATACCTAATTTGGTCCAGAAAGGGAGATATATTCTATTGGTTTTAGATGGTCATTCTTCGCATCGTACGCCAGAATTCGACCAACTATGCGCGGACAACGATATTATTTGTCTATGTATACCAGCTCATTCATCTTATCTATTACAACCTCTTGATGTAGGATGTTTTTCGGTGCTTAAAAAGGTATATGGAGGCCTGATTAGTGCTGAAATACAGAATGGAGTGGATTCTATTGATAAGGATGATTTCCTCCAAATCTATCCTTATACACGTAAAGCAACATTTAAAGCATCTACTATAGTGAATAGCTTCAGGGGCGCTGGTTTAGTACCCCTGGATGCTAATCATGTTTTAGAAAAGCTGAATATCATGGTCGAAAACCACCCTTAAGACCCCCCTCAAGACCCCCCTCAAGACCCCCCTCACGACCACCCTCAACGCCCTACTTCTTTAAGCAGCAGTGACTCAAATCGGCCTTGGAGCTACTCAAAAGTCCAAAAATCGAATTCTGCTATCAAGAAAGAACTCGAATCTTCCTCAGGAGCTTTAACTTCACCTCTAAAACGACAAATTTATCGGTCGCAAGATGCGCATACTCAGATGGCGATTCGGATGATGATGATGGAAGACCGTATTCAGCGATTGGAGAATACTGCGAAGAGAAAGATAAAAAAGAGAGCGGCTAGCAAGAAGCACAGAGGCCATGAAGGGAGTCTTCGGAGTTTGGAGGAATTGCAGCAAAGCGTGGTTGCTCAGGAGAATGGTAGAGTTGAATATATATCCCTAGAGGATGCTCCTGGACAACCTATAGAAGATGTTCCATTGCCTACTTTACCTACTATTAGGCGACTCGTCACCTGTTCAGGTTGTGGAACCAAAGGCCATATATATACCCAGTGTCCTACACGCGTTAAATAGATAATTAATTCATGTTTTGGTGTTAAAAGTTGATGTTGAAAATCTTAGATTTTTTAAGTTCCAAATGCGTCGCTCGATCAACCGGGACGCTCGGTCAACCGTGACGCACGTTATAAAAGAGTTGGGATAACACTAGACGGATACAACGCAGCACTGCTAACGATGCTCACTGGAATTGCCGAAGATCATTACTATAGTAGTGATTTGCCTTCGCGAACTTTTCAAGAAGCATGTAACCATTTACGCCAATTCTTTAAAGGTCCTGAGTTCTACCGCCAGAACTTGACCAAATAGAACGATATCACACTATAAAGAGAGTAGTTTTATTGGGGTTGCCTCACAGTGCCTGCAGCCTCACGTGATGTCTACACCGACATTACTGAGGACCTCCCCCTCTACGACTGCCTCACGAGAGTCAGTTCTTGCCTCACGAGAGTCATTTGCTTGTCTACACAGGTAGTTCGTCATCTCTTTCACAGTCAAGTCTCGTTTTTGTGTTTCACGTCCCCCTCTAGGCAACAGCACCAAAAAAGCCCTGACTGTCACTCGTCGCCATGACTTCTAGCCAGTCCAGCAGTGTCACTCCTGCCCAGCTCGACTCTGCTTGGCCACCGGCCCATATTTGGGAAACCATGGATGCGGCAGACCGTGCAACCTGGTTAGAACAGATACAGAGGGACAGAGCCAGGCGCCTTGAATTAGACGTAGCAGAGACGGATCTCCGCCGCAGAAGACCTCGTGTGGAACTACAGGATGATGATACTCTCGAGGAAAACCGTGAGCCACCCCCTGAAGTAAAATCACTCATCGATATATTTCCGGGTGTCTCCGCCGCCCTCCTTACTCGCGTGTTTGAGAGAAAGCTGAAGGCGACCGAACTCATTCGCTTTAAAGAAAAGTCAGTCACCGAGCTAGATCAGGATGACAGAGTTTTCAAGATGACCGAGTCAGGAGGTATAGTAGGCTTCAAGAAGGCAGCAGCATCGCTTAAGGACTGGGGCCTCAACCCTCAAACATGGACCACTTGTTTTCTTACCTACTTATCCATTATGGGATACCTCTTCGGCGAAAAACATCCTAGGGCAGTTCCCAACCTACTTATATTTATGAGGCAGATCCTAGATCTCGCTCAGATTTATCAGTGGTCAGAGGCAGTTCTCCCACTTGCCCTTAATTTTCACCAGTATATGCTGGATAAAGGAGAGCTATCAACAGACAACTACCTGGTCATAGGCCCATTCCGCGAGAAATACCTCCGTCATAATCTCACACTGCCCGCACAATTACCAACAAACCCCCTAACCCGGCCTCGCCAGGCTAGAAATACCAGATCCTCGAATAACGAGACAGAAGTCTGCGATAAGTTCAATGCAGCAGGGTGCTCTTGGGAAGGTTGTAAGAGACGTCACGAGTGCACGGTATGCGGCCTCAGCGAGCATGGCGCCTCCTCCTGTCGCAAGAAAAAATAGCAAGTGATAGACCTTGAGAACTATACTAGCGATACTAGTAGCTTTCTTCTTAACCCCTTATCCCGAAGCTTTACACCATATAGGCAACCACCTAGACCAAACACTGCTGTTCAATTCCCTGTTTTCAACTCGGAGCTTCCAAGGCTACAGTCCTCTCCGTCACTACTATATATAAAAGGCTGGAACAATCTTCTACGCTACTATCTAGGCGACCTCGGGTCTACTATCACTGGCATTTTGACATACGGTGCCCAGGTTGGCTATAGGGGCAAGAAGCGGTTTCGCTATTCCCCTAACCATCATATACACGAACCTGGCGTGATAACCTCCAAAATAATGGAGGATCTCAACATCGGCCGCATTAGATTGACGCATGGCCCCTCCTTCATTTCGCCTCTTGGGTTAGTCCCTAAGAGCAATGGGGAATGGCGTCGCATCCACGACCTATCTTGGCCCCCTGGACACGGCCTTAATCAGGGCATACCAGACTCCTGGTCAGCTATTGAATACATAATAATCGATGCTATCTACGAGCAAATCATACAAGCTGGTCCAGGCTGTACAATCATCAAGAGGGATATCAAGGACGCCTTCCGAATTATTCCTGTCGCCAAGGATAACCAGCATCTCCTTGCCTTCCAGTGGAACGATTTCACTTACATTGAATGTTGCCTACCCTTTGGCCTTGCAACGGCCCCATTTCTCTTTAACCTGTTTGCCGAGGCACTTCATTGGATACTTCAATGCCTCCTCCCTGCATTCCACATCAGTCATTACCTAGACGATTTCATCGCAATCACTCAGCCTTCCTCAGCATCCGACCCTACGGGCCCTTTTGATGAGATTTATAACAATGTTACCAACTACCTACGCATCCCTTGTAATACAGAGAAGGACCAGCAAGGAACCTGTGTTACAGTCCTAGGCATCCAGATCGACTCTGTTGCAATGGAAGCTCGTCTGCCACCAGAAAAGTTGTGCCGCGCCACATTGGACGCCGCAGCCACCCTGAATGCAACGAGTCTCTCCCTGAAGCAAACGGAGCGTCTAATAGGCTTATTAGCCTTCTGTTCAAGAGTTGTCCGGATTGGGAGAACAAGGCTACAGTCTCTATACACATTCCAAGCCGCTTTCCCATATAGGAGGAGCGCGCGCCGCCGTATCCCCTATGAGGTACGTGACGATTTAGAATGGTGGAAGGACTCCTTATCTCTCTTTAACGGCGTACTCCTGATTGACCCCTGCCGTCGCTCTATCACGCATCTTTACACAGATGCCTCTAACACAGGCCAGGGGCTCTTCTTCTTCTCATCTGAGTCTATATCAGACTGCTGGCTGGCCCATTGTCACCAGCTTCACTTAAGCAATGCTGCCTCGCTGGCCCTTGCTCCAGACACACATGTGCACATCAATACCAACGAAGTAGACGCCATCCTATAAGGCTTCCTACTCTTCAGCCACCATTGGCTCCACCATACGCTTGTTATCCACACGGATAGCTCCACAGCGCACACAGGTTTAAAGAAAGGCTTCCTTCACGGTCCACCTAACACACCTCTGAAGAGTCTGCTTATCCTAGCGGCGGCGAGAGACATCCACATCGTGCCACACTGGCTCCCTTCTAGGGATAATATATTAGTAGATGTGCTCTCACGTAACAATCTTGATGAAATTACTAACATTTGTCCCTATTGGCAGGACCTCTCGGTATTGAACCGCCCACGTGGTTCTCTTCACGAGCTCCTCAGCTAAATGCCGGCCACCTAAAACTGCTCTGGAGCGGACTTAGCGCTAACACACGTTCCGTTTACCTCTCTGTTCAGCGTAATTACGAAAAACACTGCGCGCTACAAAATTTAACCGCATGGCCAGTTTCAAGACATTCATTAACCTCATGGCTAAGCTCACGACTCCTCGGTAACGCCAGCCAAAAGGCCGTTAAGCCTGACACCGCACTCAGCGATCTAGCCGCCCTCCGAGCCTACCATATCGATAACTTCCTTGATGATAAAATTTTCGATAACAAACATTTTCGACGTCTTATAGATGGCGCGAGGAGACTCAACCCCATCACAAAAGTACGGATTAGAAAACCGATTTCGCGTGACACTATCACGAAATTATCCGCGATCCTCGCCACACTCCTGTTACAGCCCTCGGAGATGACAGCGAACCTTCTAGACGATCTGAACTTCGCCACCGCGTGTCGAGTAGCATTCGCTGGGTTCCTCCGCCTCGGGGAATTTACCTACAAGACTGGAGAGCTCAGTATACGTTCTATCTTCTCAGCCACAAAATTAACGCGCTCCGACGTTAGATTCTCGTCTTCATTAGACCACGCACAACTCACGCTAAAGCGCAGCAAGATAGACCGCCGCCACGAAGGGGTGTAAATTATTCTTGCAAAGACAGGAGACGGCGCGTGTCCAGTTAATGCCCTTCAGAGGCTGCTACTCCTCGACCCTAGAGGGCCCGATGCCCCATTATTCTCATTCCACGGACGACCATTCAATCGTCACAACTTCCTCTCAACCTTATCTGCCAAGCTACGAGCACTTGGAATACGGACAGACGGGTATTCCGGTCATAGCTTTCGAAAGGGGGCAGCTCAGCATGCACACGATAGCGGGATACTCGACGACCAAATTCAGATGCTGGGGAGATGGACCTCAGAGGCGTTTAGAGTGTATTTTACAACAAATGCGTCAGCTCTATTCAAGCTTAATCACCAGTTCCAGACAGGCTCGCCGGCCCCGCTATCTCTCCTGTGTCCACCACCGTCCCCTCCACCATCCTAGTTTGGCCCGGGTCATTTGGCCCCCATCTGACGCTACGTTCTACGATCGCAGCGACAGGTGACCCGTTATGGCCAAACTACACTCTTCTTTCTCCACTTAGCCACGTGAGGTCACCAATAAAGAGAGTAGTTTTATTGGGGTTGCCTCACAGTGCCTGCAGCCTCACGTGATGTCTACACCGACATTACTGAGGACCTCCCCCTCTACGACTGCCTCACGAGAGTCAGTTCTTGCCTCACGAGAGTCATTTGCTTGTCTACACAGGTAGTTCGTCATCTCTTTCACAGTCAAGTCTCGTTTTTGTCCCTCCCGCCTCCCCTCTGTATATAGAATCTACTATAATACAGACACATTGCCTCCTTACCACGGAGCGCGAACGGCCCCCATCTGACGCTACGTTCTACGATCGCAGCGACAGGTGACCCGTTATGGCCAAACTACACTCTTCTTTCTCTACTTAGCCACGTGAGGTCACCAATAAAGAGTGATAAATGATAACCATAATAAGTTAAACTCTATCTACCAGAACTTTTAAACTATGCTCAACGACCTACTCAAAAAACGACACGGCCTTCATCCAGAACTCCGTAGCAACATGATGTTGATCAATAAGCTAATTATTGTATATAGAGGAATCCCTACATGTAGTAACATACTAGCTGACCCACTAGAAGATCTCGTACTATTGATCAATAAACTATAGTTATTAATCACCACCTGGGAGAAAGAAAACCCTAAGAGGCAAGCAGCATTCGCCTCGGAAGAAACATTCTACACCGATAGACGATACTATAGAGACGGCAATCAAGGAAGAGGACTCACCAGGAATCAGACCAAAAGAAACCTATAGGGAAAATGCTATGTCTGCCAAAAACCAATATATCGATCCTGGAGACACACCAAAGAAGAACAAAAGCAATCAAAACAAAATTTCCTTCAAGGATTCAACCAGAATAAGGAGAAAAACGGCGATTTCAACAGGAGATATAGGCAATACATGCTCTATTACGAAGGAAATGACGAAACCGAACAAGTTGAAGCTTTCGAAGCTCTCTTGGCTGACGCTCAAACAATTAGCCTCTAGACCAACGAAACAGACTCTAATAAAGACGAATATGATCTAATCGATAGCTTCTCCACTTCATTTGGCCAAATTAATGCTGAATAGGGTACGGAAATAAGCTCAGAGCTCTCCAATAAAGCACTCTTACACTGGTTGTCAGAGAAACCATCGCCTATACAAGGAGACACTCCGCTACAAGACATTGACCTATTCAGCTACACCACCACACCCACCAGCCGATACAATTCCCAAACATTTATGGGAATCATGATCGATACCGGCGCCTCAAGAAAATCTATAGCCGGAGTTGGTCAGTTCTAAGCGCTTCAGAGGATTGAGAACATCAAATTGGATCCCTCCACAGCTGGCGAAGTTAATGTCTAATTCGGAATTGGAACAACCTCTTTAATCGGATCAGCAAAAATCTCTACTCCTATTAGCAACGTTCAATTCCATATCGTTAATACAGACACTCTATTCCTGTTATGCCTAGCGGACATGGACAACCTTGGAGTATACTATAACAACCTCAGGAATATAGTCATCACTTTAAAACTAGGCAAATAAAATGAAATACCTATCATTCGCTGATTTAGACACCCCTTCATGCTATAGGACGAACCCCTCTCCTTATACCTAAGCACATCGTTCAGCATAAACCCTTGCTTCCTGACCGATACTAAGCTTAGACGACTACACCGTCGCTTTAGCCACCTATCAGTTAATCGGCTCAAAAAGCTACTTCAAAACGCTAGACATGAACCTAATACAGCAGCTTTAGAGCATCTCACCAAATTTTGCGCATTCTGCTAGAAGTTTAGGAAATCTCTAGGTCGATTCAGGTTCACCCTTAAAGACCTAGAGGATATCAGATTCAACTATAACATCATCGTCGACATCATGTATATTGCTAACCAGCCCCTCCTACACGTCGTTGACGAAGTAACCCGCTTTTAATCAGGCCGATGGCTAGACGACATCAGCGCCAAAAACACCTGGGATAAGCTACAATCATGCTGGATCGACACCTATTTAGGCCCTCCAGACTGGATCACCCACGACACCGGAAAGAACTTCATCAGCAAGGAATTCAAGACTTATGCAAAAGCTATAGGCACAAACACAAGAAGTGTGCCTATTAAGGCGTATAACTCGATTGGCATGGTTGAACGGTACCACGGCCCCCTACACCGCGCCTATCAAATCATTATTACTGAAATCCCTGGAATCGATCGAGAAATCGCTCTCCAAATGGCCTTTAAAGCAATCAACGACATAGCTGGACCAGGAGGTTTAGTTCCTACACTACTTGTCTTTGGTGCATACCCCCGAATGATCGACTTAGATCCACCCTCTCCATCAGTAACACAGCGTGCTACAGCAGTCAGAAAGGCTATGGCCGAGATACAGAAGCTCCTAGCAGAACGCCAAATCGCTGATGCATTAAACATGAGAAACGGCCCAAACACGACCGCAATCCATGATTTGCCGCTGAATTCACTAGTTCTTGTCTAGAGAGAAGGAAATTTAGGAAAAACAGGTAGCTGGACTAGACTATACATATTACTATCAATCGAAAACGAAACCTGCATAGTTAGACTACTAAGTGGACTAACAGCATTCCGATCGATAGTGGTTAAACCCTTCTATTCAGAAACACAAAATCTGGATCCAGAATCGCAAGGAATAGACCAAAGTGAACAAACCAGATCAGATATCGATACTAAGCTCCCCCCAGAACCCCTAGAGCCAACTAATCGCTCTAGCCGAAACCTAAGGTCTAACCTAGGCCGTGAACTTGCCCCTACTCCTATATAACCATAGAAGCGTGGCCTAGGCCGCCTATATAAGCACCCTATACCTATCACTATCTTTCTGTAAGATAAGAGTAGCACCAATGCCTAATTCCGAGACTCAAGATAAAAAGAAATCAATGGGTTACTTGAAAAAGGGGTCTTTAAGCTTATCATAGAAGCTCCACCTGGTGTACGACTATTCAACTCAAGATTTGTTGACGATATCAAGAATAAAGGCATAGAACAAGCATTCGAAAAGTCACGACTGGTCATTTAAGCCTATAACGACCAAGAAAAAGACCTAGTTTTGACTCAATCGCCAACAATTCAACGCGTCAGCCAAAGACTGATCCTCTGCATCGCTGCAAGTCACCAAGGCGCTGCTGCTAAATCACAATTATACCTCCGCGATATCTCCTAGGCGTATATTTAGTCAACAATAATACTGAACCGTAATTTCTATGCACGCCCCCTATAGGAATTAATTAACCAGCTTAGGAAGAACACAATTCTAAAGGTCATTAAGCCACTCTATGGCATCCCCGAAGCCGGAAACCACTGGTTTAGGATATACCACTCCCACCATTCGATAAACCTGAGAATGAACCAGTCGACATTTGACCCATGTCTTCTATATACAACAGATTCGAAAGGATTCGGTATCATTAGACTTTAAACAGATGATACTCTTATCCTTGCAGATAACGAATTTATAGAAGCAGAAAAACAGGAGCTACAAAAGGCAAACTTCGCGGCGAAAGAACGCGAACAACTAACCATTGAAAATCCACTGAAATTCAATGGTGGAGTCATCGAATTGGCAATAGATGGAAGCATCACCCTTGCGCAGAAGGGCCAATGCGATAAGATCTCCCTTGCCAACACCAAAGATGAATACATCGCCGAGCGCGCGAGAGGCGCCTATATAGCTTCAGTATGTCAACCTGAAGCTGTGTTCGACTTATCATTCGCTGCCTAAGCGACCCACCTGGACAAAGATGACTATAAGTTACTGAACAAACGGCTCAATTAGTAAAGAGAAAATTCTGCCAGAGGACTCAAGTTCGTCGATTTAGACATAAAATCACTCCAACTTCTTATCTTTACAGACGCATCATTTGCTAACAACAAGGACCTCTCGTCACAAATTGGCTATGTCATTATGCTCGCCAACAAGGGAAACGTTCAAATTGATAACACCAAGACCATAGAACCCGGCCAGATTAATAACTTCGCCAACGCTAATATCATTCACTGGAGCTCGATCAAATATAAACGAATCACTAGGAGCGTTTTGGCATCCGAACTTTACACCATAGTTCACGGTTCAGATATCGCTTTCGCGATCAAGTCAACTTTGGATCAAATGCTAAAGGCGAACTTCCCAATCGTTTTGTGCACCGATTCGAAATCATTGTACGATTGCCTCGTGCGGCTCGGGTCTACACAGGAAAAGCGCCTAATGATAGACGTAATATGCCTGCGATAGGCGTATGAACGCCGCCAAATCGCGTCAATCAAGTGGGTTGATGGAACCTCCAACCCAGCAGACGCAATGACCAAAGCCAAACCGTGCAATGTGTTAACTCAACTTATTGACACGAACAAAATCAATCTGAAGGCAATTGGCTAGGTCGAGCGATCGAATTAAATTTGGAAGTTAAAAATGGAGACTTTGATTTTTAAGGCAGAAGATTGGAACTCAGGACTGCCATGCGAGCTTGTGATACTTTGAT